ACAGATTCAGTATTCCTCAAAATGAATAAAAATAATGCAACTCAGAATATGACGCAAACCTGCAATAATTAAATGTTAAACAACACAAATATCCTTTATGTATTTAATCCCATTCTATTAACCAATGTCCTTTCTTCTGACCTTCGATGATCCAGTTCAACCATACTAATAAGCACAAATTACTCTAGACAAACATTTGTGTGTTTTTTTTATTGTTGAAGTGTGTTGAAATGTCTTCTTCTGTATTCTACTGTACGGACGTAAATTTACTTTTCCTTCAGCCTGAAGCTTAATCATTTCAATTTTGGTGTGAAAAGGCTTTTATATTTGCCAAAAATTGAACTTTTTTATTTTAAAATCAAACAAGCAAGCCCTGTCCAGATTTAAAAAGTAACGCAAAAGTAACGTAACACATTACTTCCCATAAAAAGTAACTAAGTAACGTAATTAGTTACTTTTTTATGGAGTAACGCAATATTGTAATGCATTACTTTTAAAAGTAACTTTCCCCAACACTGCTGATATGTTTTGAATGACTATTCATTTATTAGTTGAATGTCTACAGTTAACTGAACTGGGAAATATGAATTTATAATAAGCGTCATTGCGTGATTATGTAAAGGAATAGCTGAATTGTTTTAGATTTTTTTTTATTCATGCCGACTTAGCCTACATATTGTATCAACAAATACAGAACAACAAGAACAATAGAAAATAATACATATCATACAATAACAATAATACATTTACACATTAGGTTAAACATTAAAAGTAATTTTTGACTTTTCAAATATTTTTTTATGCCTATTAAAGGCAAACCATTGGAATTATGGTCTACTAAAAATGACAGTATTTTTGATTCTTGCCCAAGAATTTGCATTTGTGTATTAAAAAATTGATAAGTATTATAACAAAGACGAACAATGTCTTTTTTATGTTTGAGTGTACTTGAGGTGTAGCATCTATGCAATTTTTTTATCTTGTTTGTTAACGCCATCCGTTATTTATTTAGTTAGTTAGTTAGTTATTTGAAGCGGTTCTTTGAAACGAAATGTTCAAAAGAACTGATTCGTGGAACTGAGACTTTCTTCGTCAAAATATGTGACTCCACGTCAAGCAATCGCGAACCAATCCCAGCGTGGCTTCCTGGATCACCCGTATGAAATCCAGTACACCACTTCCTGTTTTCAGTTCAGTAACTAATTGTCGTGGGAGAGATGCGTTGGTTACCTCTCTCGGTTGTAATATTATGGGCCTGTTGCCTTTACAGTGCCTCTGCGGATAACAGTGGCGTCAAGAAAATGAAGGTGCAGTTTGCCACGGGTCCTCTTCTCAAATTCCAGATTTGGTGAGTGAGAGTTTGGGCGTTTTTATGTCGGTCGGTCCCCGGTACAAGCCGACCAGTGTATGACATTGAGTGTGTTGATAATAGCGCTGCTCGACGTGATTAACCTCGCAGAGACATTAACCACACTTACTGTAAGCAACGGAATGTGTACTGTCACAGTATACAAAGACAAACGTTAATTTGTCTCATATGGCACAAGTAGTCTCGCAGATAACCTCGGTAGGATGTTATAATCGTCCGGTAATCCGGTGTTAAACGGAGGGCTGTCATTTGAGGATTAGCCCATTCTACAATTACCCCATCAACTTCGGTCAGAAATCTTGGTGTACATTGATTATAATAAGAACCATTATTAATAACCGAGCACTAATAATAACTGAGCAGCAAATCATCATATTAGAATGATCTCTGAAGGATCATGTGACATTGAATAATATAGGACTAATGATGCTGAAAATTCTACTTTGCATCAAAGGAATACATTTATATTAAAATAGATTAAAAAAATTATGGGCTGCATGGTGCTTGAGGCATTGTTGGTCATTTAGTGTTTCTGTAAAAAAAAAAAAAAACAGTACTACAACAATAATGCTACTAATTCTACTAGTTTATGTATGTGCATGTAAATTGTTTATTCATATAGTGTCTTTTTTTTTCTTCCCCCCCCCCAGGCACATTGCTTCCTTTCTGTCTATCTTTAAGTTGTTGTTAATCGGCGTGATCATTGTGGGCAAGGATCCATTTGCTCTATTTGGCATGCAGGCCCCAGGACTCTGGGTTTGGAGTCAGGAGAATAAGGCAGGACCTCAGACTTTTCCTGTTTTCCTGAGATATTTTCATTTGGTGGTTTAGATTCTTGTTCTTAACTGAAATCTATTTGAGTAGTAGGTTCCAAATACAAACTTTTTCCCCATTGAGCTCATTAGTTTGTAACTTTGTAACACCTCAGTGACATCTGTGGTTATTGGAGAGTGTAATACACTAGAGACCAAAGAGCAAGCTCCCATGTTAATGTTCACCTGACTCTTTCTTGCACTATTTCTGAAATGTAGGCATTAAAGTCCACGTGAACCAGAAGCTGTTGCCAACTTTATTTCAGTATAGTGACGTATTTCCGACTGAAACAGAATATTGAAGAGAGAAGGAATGAATGCTATTTCAGAGCGGAAACAAATATTCAGATTTTGATTAAAAATTACCAAGACAAACAATTTTTTTCAGTGGATTAACTTGCACGGATATATTGTTCACCTCAAGGCTAGCAATGGGAGCTAACAAAATGAAGTTTGTAAATTTTGATTTAATGCGGACTTAAAAGTACAGAAGAAAACCTTCGGCATTCTTTAAATTTAATTTTTTACTATTATTTTTTGTAGGTTTCAGTGTGAAAAAAGTAGCACACAAGTTATGTATAAACTATCCACAAAATAAAGTATTCAAGTATGTACAAACAAATTAGCTGCAGCAATGCATGTTTAATTTTTATTTTATTATTTTTTAATTTTATTTTATTATTATAATTTTTTTTTTTTTTTAGATATATGCCTGTATGATGGTGTTCTTCTTCAGCAATATGATCGAGAATCAGTGTATGTCTACGGGTGCTTTTGAAATCACACTCAATGGTAAGCGTATTTGATTCCTAAATTGAGCATTAAATGTTTATCATTTACATTTTTGTTTATATAATATCTGTTTCTTAATAAGTTACTTTATTTGTAGTATATTTATTGTATATTAATTGACCTAAACCCGTACATGCTTGTTTTTTTTGTTTTTTTTTAAATGGGATGATTGAATGATTTTAAAGTTTAAAAAATCCTTTTTATGACCCTTTTCAGAAAAACATAATCTGTCTTGACCCATGGCATTCAAGCTGTTTTTATGGAATAGCGCATAGAAAATGTATTATGTAAGAAATTGTTTATCAAATCAGAAGAATTAGAGTTGTTCTCTGTCTGTCAGACATGTTAAGCATACGGGTTTGTTGACATCTTTAAAGAGAAGCAGTGTGGCGATAGCCTAATTCGGTGGTTTAGTCTGGCGGAAGTTAGCAAAATGACGTGGTTGTATTATCACCATAGTGACACTATTTTGGTGCATTTTTTGGTTAGATGTTCCAGTTTGGTCCAAGCTGGAGTCAGGCCATCTGCCTTCCATGCAGCAACTAGTGCAAATTCTGGAGAATGAGATGAAGATGAACGTGCACATGGACACACTACCGCACCATCGCTCGTAACCTTGCCTCTGATTCACTGAATGGAGCTGACGACCCCTCCTCGTATGTTTAACCATCATTACCCTACCATATATGAAATGAATTTCTATTCAAAATATTGTCTTTTGTTTTAAAAAATACCTGTAATGTAGACACTACAATGTTTGGGGTCAGTAAGATTTTTTTTTTAATGTTTCTTATGCTCACCAAGGCTGCATTTATTTGATTTGATTTGGATAAAAAAAGTAATGTTTTGAAATATTTGTACAATTTAATAACCAAGTCTGCATTTGTGCGCTCACAAATAAAGTAAAAACACTAATATTGTGATCTAGTATTGCCATTTAAAAGAACTTTTCTAATTTAATATATTTTAAAGGGGTGGTTGACTGTTTTTTTTTTTCTAGGCTTGGTTGTGTTAATGGGTTGCAGTCTATCGTGTTAATGCTTCGTTTTTAAAAAACGATTTTTTTTTAACTTTTATTCCACACCACTCTGTCCCTTCTCCTATTAAATCGCTGATCATTTCTTGCTTTTATGAAGCCCCTCCCTCAGAAATACGCAATGGGCTCTGATTGGTTACCTAGTCCAGTGTGTTGTGATTGGCTAAACCGCCTCTAGTGCACGTCTAAACGTCCCGCCCCTCACCTCAGCGGCATGTGCTCCGGTTGTATTGTAAACAATTGCGTTGTCTATATATCTCATCAATTTGAGCTCGATTGAGATGCAAAGAATATTAGTGAAGAAGATCGCGCAGAACCTGTGCAAGCACGGCTCTTAATGGTATGTTTTTTGTTTGTTGTTGTCTCATTTAGATACGCTGTAATTTGTAAATGCTACTGCTTCTGTTAGCTTTTAATATATTGTTTTATCCTGATTAAAGCTTTAATACAGTAAAGCAACCGCACACGCGTCCATGTTTAACGCTTCTCATAGCTATGTGAAAATAAGTGTATAAATGGAACAGTTCATTGTTG